TATTACTATGATTACTTATTTAAGCAATTCCAGGATAACCTTTTTCAAGTATACCCATTTAAATAGGAATTTATGTGATATCTTAAACTAATTTAACTTATTCTAAATTGGGTTCTCCTCTAATAATTAATCCTGTTTTATTGAATTTTCCTTCTTGATAATTTATACCTCCATAATTATTATTAAAAGAATTTACATAAGTATTATCAAAACCACATGATAAAAACTTTTAATCATAATCTAAAAATAGATGTTAAGAGAATGTTGTGATATCTAATTATTTTTTATATGCTTGATTAATTGAAGCTAAACAAAAACTTAAAAATTATGAAATATTTCTAGGAGGGTATGTTGTATATTATTTATTTTCTAAAAATACACTTCCATTAATTTACAGACACACTTCTGCATATTCTTTAAGCATTTCATAACATTTTAATAAACTTATTTACTAAGAAAATGATATTTAATCTTCAATCAAATTAACAAAATAAAATGGGACAGTAGGTATTAATTATTATTATTCTTTGATATAATTATCGTAATTTTAATTTGTTGTATTGATAACAAGTACTCCTTATAAATTTTCACATTTCTCAACCATTTATCTAAATGAAGAAAACTAAAGAATAAATAAGTTTAATTACATTTTATTTTGCATACATTTTCTTCTTTTGAAATTAGGTATCAGAATCAACAAATATAGTTTTAGGAATAAATTATCCATTTTAAGTTTCATAATAAAATGATTTGATTAAGAAATCTGATTCTTTATTCAAAAGATTTAAATCCTGTATTTGATTTTCAATTGCTAATTATTCTTAGAGTTGATCACCAATTATACTCCCATTCCATCCTAAATTGAGAATTATTATTTCCTTCATTCCTTTTAGTTTATATATTAATGAATTAGTTAATTATATGAGACTAATAATTTGGAATAAATTATTAAAAGATTTATTTAGTATTTTGAAATGGGAAAATTGTAAACAATTGTAATATGGCTAGCTTAAAACCAGGTCGTTTAGTAGTTATGCTTGCAGGTAGATATGCAGGAAAGAAGGCTATTTTGATTAAAGCAAATGAAGAATCAACTAAAGTAAATCAAATTTCGATTTATTTTAGGATGCAAAATTCCCTAATGGTTTAGTCGTTGGTATCTAAAGATATCCAAGAAAAGTAACCAAGAGAATGGGTTAAAAGTAAATCAGAAAGCGAACTACATTGAAAGTGTTCATTAAATAATTAAATCTTAATCACATAATGCCAACAAGGTAATAATTTAATACAATTTTATTTTAGATATAGATTAGAAGAATCAACATTGAAGGAAGTTAGAGATAGAATTGAAAGAGTCAAGGAATCTGAATTAAAGAATGTTGAAAAAAGAAAAGAATTGAGAAAGAATCTTAGAAAATATTTAGCTGAGAAATACAGAACATTACCAGCAGGTAGTTTGGCTGATAAGAAAGCTTAATCAAGATTCCTATTCTCAAAATTGAGATTCTGATATAATAAAGTATAATATAAAATATATTTATTATTGTAATTCTTTATCTAATTTATATATCTCTTTAAATTTTTGAATAAATAGATATGAACTTGATATTTATTATCTTTAATATTATGTTATTTCATTAATTATATCTTAATATGTAAATTTAATTATTCAAATAGATTAAAAAAATACCTAAATTAGATATCAATTTTTGAAGATTTTTCGTTTTATTTTTAATAAAACAAAATTAATGTAGAAAATGAATTAAATAATGAGCATTAGTATTACTATTTAGATATTCATGAAAAGAATATATTGTTAAATAGGGGGGGGAGATGTAAATCCAATATTTGACTGATATTAAAAAATAAAATATATTATATATATGAACCAAAAGTCCAAGAAGGTGCATGTTGCTCCTTAAGTAGAACTAAAATTATAGAATCCCTTAAGATAAATACGTATAGATACTTATGGTTAACAAATTTTGAAAGGATAAAAAAACCATAAAATTGCATTCAAAGAACATATAAAAACAATTCACATAATAGAGAATTGGAAATTGTACAATCTTGATCATGTAGATAAAGAAGATGATTCTTGTCCATGTTAATTAGTTTGATGACACTATTAATTGTTTATTTTTTGATTTCAGTTGATATTTGTTTTATACAATTTCTATTGATATACAAAATTAAGTATAATATGTGTGAAGTTGATATTATCAAGCAAATTCTGATTATGAGAATAAACAAATTAATTTCTTTAAATTGAGATATTTTTTTAAAATATGTACTCTTAAGGCACTTAATATCCAAATTCTAAGTACAAAACCTAACTTTGTAGACATTTTAGTATTGATTTAATATTTATATGAATAGCACAGAATGGAGTTTGCGCTTTAGCAATAAGATGTTAATTTGCTCATGGACCATAAGAACTTAGATAAAATGTTTAATAACCCCAAGGTTTTACAGAATAGACAATCTAACCAAATGCCTATAATAAAGTATAGGGAATCAATCCTATGATTGTGAATTATAAAAGTAATAATAAAGGATTAATTAATGTAGCATAATTATGTAAACATTTTAATCCTTAAACTGGGCAATGTAAAAATGGTCCTACTTGCACATTTGCCCATGGTGAAAATGAGTTAAATACTATGCCACATTTACAAAATTAATATTTGTAATTACTTTTATTGATTATTTTTGATTAGATTGATGTAATAACAGATGAAATAGATTAATCAATAATAAATGTAGGCAGAATTAACATAACAAATATTAGTGATGATCTTAACAAATATGGAACATATATTTCCAGGATAGCAAGTATTAAATACTGTTTATAGTAGTAAATTCTTGCATTGTTGAAGTAAGGATAAGAGAAAGCAAAATCAGGAGATACATAAGGAGCAAGTGAAATCATTAAATTAATTATACATGATTAGGATAGATCAAAAGAAGAGAAATAATAATATCAATAAATTTATAATAATGCTTAAAGGCATTATGATTAAAAATTGAAAGATATTTAATCTTCATAATAGTAGTAATAATAGCTTTATTGAAATATATTATTATATATACAGATATTATAAATGAAAATAGATATAATATTTTTAGGTAGATATCAAGTAAGACTTGTAAGTCCTAATTAAAATTGTAAAAACACTTAAAGGTATATTTATAATTAATATACATATTTTCATTAGATTTATTATTGTTATTACTTTTACAATTACATTTATTTCCATTGTTTTAAGTACTCAATAATTTATAAAATATTTTGTTCTAATTAAGGTACTTCTTCATTATTCAATTCCATAATAATATTTTATTTATAAGAACTAAACATAATTACAATATAAAACAACCTTTCTACTTCATCTTTACTAACATCTAGAATTTCACACTCTATATTTTCTGTTATCTTTTTATCTTCATATCCTCTGGCTTTTAGTCTATCATATAAAACAGTATTGTTAGTCCTTAATAACACAACCAAATCAAACCACTAAATTTATATCTCTCAATTACTCTTTCAGGAAAGAATGAAGATGTATGAAAATCTATTATCATTCCTCCAGTTTACATAGCATTTTCTAATTCATCACATACCATATCCTAATCAAATTCAGGTACATTAAATTCTTAATTCCATTCCTTATATAATTTCTTTTAATTTATTAACAATCCAACATCAACATATTAAAGACCATCAATATGTTCACTTAATAATTTTCCTAATGTACTTTTTCCAACTCCTGGTGTTCCAGTAATCAAAATGTTTGGCTTTTACCTATTATTTTCAATTTCCATAAATTAATTATAAATACTTTCAATCAATTAAATTTTTATATTGATTTAAGTTTATGTAGGCGGTTGTGGTGTAGTGGTTATCACGTCAGTCTAACACACTGAAGGTCCCCAGTTCGAACCTGGGCAATCGCAGTTTTTTTGTTAATAGTATATATTTATATTAATTTTTATTATAATTTTATGTTGCCATCATTATATACTCAAATTTTACATTAAAAATTAATGTTAATCACTTATTTTTTAGTATTCTAAAAGAGTTATTGATCTAAATAATTGATGATTATATAATATCTATTATATATTATTTTATTTAACTGTTAATGAAAATAACAACTACATTAGGAGACATGTTTATGTCAGCAGCATATGCACCAAGTGGTAGAGCTACTTGTAAAGGATGTTAAGCAAAAATTAATAAAGAGGAATTAAGATTAAGCAATATTTTAGATGATGATCATTATCATTAAGAACATCATTTTCATGCAGATTGTTTTTAATTAAAACCAGCCTTTAAAAATGCAACATATAAAGATATTTTTCATGTTGAAAATTTATCAAAAGAAGATTAAGAAAAAGTAAAAGCAATTCTTGAAAAACTATAAAAAAGTTAAATCAAAAAGAAACCTTAATAAAAAAAAGTAAATCCAAAATCCAAATAAAGTAAACCAAAAAAAAGTGATATAGAAGATGATAGTGATAGTGATGATGATTACAAAGGAGACAAAATTTAAAAGGATAAAAAATAAAGTAAAACCTTAAAGGAAAAAAAAGTAGAAGTTTCCAAATTATCTGAAATATCTCAAAATAAAAGTGATGAAGAGTAACCTGATGTCTTTGTTCTTTATGATGATGCTTAAAAAGAAGAGTTTAAAAAAATCTAATTAGAATTAGAGAAAAAATCTGCAGGTTAATTAAAATAGATGTTAAAAGCAAATGATCAAAAATAAACAGGAAATAAAGGAGAACTTATTGAAAGAATAGCTGATTGTATGATTAAAGGATGTTTAGAGAAATGTCCAAACTGTTCAGGAGGTAGACCCAAATTAAATCCAATTTAGAAAGTCTTTAAATGTCCTGGATATATGGATGATACAGAATTCAGATATTGTAATAAAGTTTATGGACCAAAAGATCTCAAAAGAATCCCATGGGTTGATATTTGATATTATGATTTAAAATTTATGTCGAAGATCTTACTGATCGATAATATATGTAATATTAGCAATCCCTGTTTTGATCTTCTATCTATTTTGCACCATAGACAAACCGACACTCTTTACAATAATTTCTTTGAAATTAAACAGTGTGGAGATACAGAGTGCTTATAATAGTTATACTAGAGTGTATACTCTCCCGTAGACTCAAATATATTCAATTTAAGGTGACAAAGCGCCCTCAACAATGAAATTAATCAAAGTTTGTGAATACAGCCTTAAGGTTTTGGGAGAGAATGTATTTATCACAAATTGTATGAACAATCTTCACATTAAGTATAAACAAGTGTGCAAAACGCAACACCTGTAAATGTATGCCAAGATGTATATTTAATTTGTGATTAAAAATATTTTAATTAATTAATTAAATCCATTATATACTTATTCTCATTTCAATATTGAGATTGCCTTCTTTTCAAATTATTATAAGGTTTTATTCAAATCTTTAAGAAGATTGATATATAAAATTAATAGCAGGAAATCAATTATAAATTTTATATAAAAATATCAAAAATTATGAACATATTCTTATTCTTTCTTAAAATATATTTGATTAAGAAATTAATTATATATACAAATAGGATATTAAATTATTATATAATTATGAATAATGAGATCATTTAGTTATTGAGTATTTATTAATATTAAAATTTTAATTGTTCGATTAACGGAATAAAAATACAATGAAAAATTCCTTAACTAAATTTTATACTTTAAACTCCTTTTCTTAAGATAAAACTTATACTTTTGTTAAATAGAGAAAGGAGTAATTATAAGAAGAAATTGTTAAAATCAATGAAGAAACACAATTTGAAGTAATGATATATATGAATTAATAAGGAATTTGCTGAATTTAAGTTATTAAATTAAGATGAAACCATTATCTCTATTAAATATACTGTTGATTAATTTTATGATCCTTTTTAATAATAGGAAATAAAAGTAGAACATTATGTTCAAGAATTGATTTACAATATAAGAAGAAAATATCCTTGGATAACTGTATTGGAAAAACGAATATCTTAATCTGCTGAATTATTATGCTAAATTTAACTTTACAATTAAAAACATAAGATTGTATTATTTAATAAACCATTTACAAATACTTAACATATTTTAGAATTGTTGAAACTCTATATAGAGAGAGGGACAATTAACATAAAATTTATATGTCATAATTAAGATGTAATTGCATTGGGTAGTTAATTGAATAATTTATTTGAAGATGCTTTTATTACAATCTCTTAGAAAGATAAATTGTAAATAAATGATAAATCACATATACCTGCTAAATTGATTACTATAAATAAAAAGATTACATCAAATTATATAAATTTTAAAGATCTACCTTTAAATAATGATTTTATTGTTGATGTTTAAGGAAAACATTTTAAATATGTACATTAAGATGTAAATTTCAATGAAAATGTCATAGAATTGGAAAGAAATGATATTATATAGGCTAAATATAAATTGATTCATCAAGGTAAATTGATAGAGGCAGATAAATTCTTAGTAAATGGTATGACTATAAATTATAATGGTGAATATAGATTTTGGACAAAACCATAAATGGAATATATAGTAAGTATTGAGAAATAAGATTTCTATCCTAAATAACACATATTAATAACAAAAGGATTTGGAGAATATAAATAAGAAATTGAAATGATTAAAATATAAAAAACTATTTTGAAAATAACTAGTAAGAATATTATAGATTAATCAATTCTTGATAATGTTGATATTAGTATTGATGGCAAGATAATTGGATAAACTAATAAAAATGGTACAATAGTAATTTAAAATCTTGAATTAAGGAGTATAGTAATAAAAGCAGCAAAGAAGGGATTTCTAACTATGCCATTATAATTTGATATATCTGCAAATAATATAGGTTAAAGTCTATTAATTGAAATGTTTCCAGATTATTTTAGTTTAATGAATTAATTCCACATTTTAGTAGTTAAACCAAAGAGTGCTAAGAAATTATCACTTTAATTAGTTGATTTAGATGAGTAAAATAAAAGTAATATCCAATAAAAGATAGTACCATATAGTAATGGAACTATTGTAAATTATGGAATACATATTAGTAATTTTGATGCATTTGATAAACAAAAAAATATTTATCAATTATTCATTAAAGATTCAAAAGAAGTATTACCAAGATGTAGATAAAATAGTACAAATATAAATAAAAAATCTTAACATATTAATGTATCTCCAAATAATTAAATGAAAACAAGAATTATAAATTAAAATTCAGATTTAAAAACAGAGAGAGGTTTGAATTAAAATAAGAAAGTTACTCCGAATTTAGAAGTTGAACATTTGCATATTTATTTATCTTTTGGAATGGATATAGTATGTTAGCAAATATTTGAAATTGAAAAATTCACCTCAAAAGTTTATGCTACTATTAATTGTAAGATAGATTTAATTATATTATTAGTGTAAAGAAGAATTGTTGAATTAGATGGCAAAGCTTATAGTTGCAGATAATAAAAGTCTCAATCAAAAACTAATAAAAGACGTGACACTGGTAATATTCTATAACTATTAACAAATCAAATATGATTACTATGATATATTCTATATATAATAAATCTATTATTTTAAAGTTTTTGAAGAAATATGGAAACTCTAAATTGTTTAAGTTATATATATATAATGAGTTTTTTATAAAAATAATTATAAATAAATTAAGAAATAGACATGAATAATTCTAAAATAAATGATGATACAAATTATTGTTGTTTTGCCAATGGAAGAAGAAATTCAGATTCATTTTTTGCAAATCATGTTATAGATGATGATGTAAAATACTAATTTATTTAGGGTGATGTATTAAGAACTACTGGAGTGCTATTATAATTATATAAAGGTGGTTAGGATATAGAAGTTATTGTAAAGAATTTAGAGAAGGTGAGATTAAATCCAAATTGGTTGAGTTAAAAAAGAGAGGACTTAGAATATTATATACCATAGTTTATCAATTATTTAGTATTTAGAGCAAATCATAATGAATTAATAAATTTCTTATTTGATGTTTGTTAAAATAACTTTTTCTTTGCACATTTGACTTACTTTTAATTAAAATCCTAATCATAAATAGTGAATAAAAAAGTCATAAATTTAAAAGATGTTTAGAAGTTTTTGATTGATTATACAAATATAATGAAAGAAAAATATGGTAATGAATATTTAATCAATGGATAATAATTTGTTTCTCATAATTCTAACAAAGAATCAATTTAAATTTATGGGACTCCTAGCTATGATTAATAAATATCCAAAGTTAATGCTTCAGAAATTAATATAAGATAATATTTATCTGTAAATAAAGATAATTAAACTAATGAACAAAATAATGGATTCTCTTCTACTATTAATTTCTGGGATGACATAATTAGAATATCTGAAAGGTATATTAAATAATTAATTAGACTTTATCTAGCTTATCCATAAATAATATCTTTAAAGGCAGATCTACAGAGAATTAATTAAAATCTTCCATCTTCTATATACATACCTTTTGTTAAAGATCAAATTAGAAATTATGTAGTCTTAAATATAGTGGCATCAGAAACCAAAGTATTTTCTACCAAAGAAAGATCACCTTTCTATATTTGTCTGGAAATCTATAGACCAGATGTTGAAAAGGATCAAAGAAATGACTATAAATAATCTGAAGCAATCACTTTACAAAAATCTATCTTACAATAGAAAATGTCAATAAATGGATCTGTTTGTCTAGATTAAGGCAAATGTATTATTCTTAGATAATATGTAAGATCCAAATGTGCATAAGATTTCAGTACAATAACCACTCTAAATTATTGATGAGGATATTATAGATGAAACACCAACAGTATAATTTTATTCCCCTGAAAATGATGAGGAAGTAGAAGAAAAGAGCGTTTATTAATCATTTTCAAAAGAGAATCATGAAGATTTTGTAAGTGTTGGAAGTTCATTTGTATAGGAAAATTAACGAAAAAGTATGTTACTTGGACAAGATGGCCAAAGTTTATTCGGAGAGTCAGCTAAAGACCAAGAGTAAAGAATTAAGGAATAATCGCTATTTGGTAATCTTAAATCCTGGAGATTGGTTCATCTTATTGTGAAATCAGGGGATAATTTAAAATAGGAGTAGTTTGCTATGCAACTCTTATCTACTATAGATTAAATCTTTATTATTGAAGACCTACCTATGAGATTATCAATTTATGAAGTAATATCCTTGGGGCCCAATTATGGATTAATTGAAATGGTGAAAGATGCTATTACAATTGATTCATTAAAACGATAATTATGGAACAGACAATAAACATTAAGCTAATTCTTCGAGTAATCAGTATATCTGTTCATTTATTAGTCATAACTTTAGTGATCGTCATCGAACCAATTTTATGCATAGCTTAGTTGGATATTCTTTAGCCTGTTATATACTTTAACTTAAAGATAGACATAATGGAAATATTTTATTAAAAAGAGATGGCCATTTAGTTCATATAGATTTTGGATTTTTCTTGGGAAATGCTCCAGGGAAGGGAATAGAAATTGAAAATAAAGTTGCATTTAAATTATTAAGTGAATATATTGAAATACTTGGTGGTGTTTCAAGTGATTTATTTAAAAAGTTTAGAGAACTATTTTATAAAGGCTTTATGGCACTTAGAAAACATAGTGATCGAATCTTATTACTTGTAAAAATGATGTAATAAATTAAATATAAATCTATAGGTATTCTGGACATAAGAACTCTATGCCTTGTTTTAAAAGAGGAGATAAATCTATTACTTAATTAGAAGAAAGATTTTATTAATATGAAGATGATAATTAAAAATTAAATGTTATTTGTTAAAAGTAGAATCACTCAAATTATATTATAGCATCATTAATTCATCCATAGATAATTGGAGAGCAAAATGGTATGATAAATACCAATATTATGTCCAAGGCATCTTTTATTGAATTAAAATTTATAATCATTATTACAATATAATTGTATTTAAATAAATTACTTATATTAAATCTTAATTCATTATCAAATCTATAAAAATATTATCAATATTGTATAAACTAAAACAAGTAGTATTTAGTATAATTAATAAGAAATGAATATTAATATAAATGATAATATGAAAGCGAACAAACTGATTATATAATATTATATTGAAAACAAGAAAGATCTAATTATATAGATAAATGATTCACTAAATTATAATTTGAACTAAGAATCCAATATTACTTAATAAAATAGTTATTATAGATTATAAATATTTATAATCTAAATGATTATAACAATTACTTTAAATGTTAAAAGGGTAATCAATAGGAGAAAATTATAATTTGGAATAAAATAATAATTTAGATATTCTCAATTATTTTGGTTTGATTCTATACCAAAAACGAAAAATTTAGAGTTTATTTGAGATTATAATAAATATAATGATTTATTGATGTTTTTTTATATTGTATTACAAATTATTCAGAAAATTTTGTAGATTTAGGAAAATGAAGGAATATTATCAGAAATGTATAAAATAACAGAAAATATATTATTAAATAGATGATGTATAAAGTTATTCTACTCATATATATAATTTTTTTAATTATTTAGGAATGTATTTAAAAAAGTTAAGAAAAAGCGAATAAGAAGTATTTGTAATTCTGTTTAGAGTTACTATGGTAAAATTGATTTATTGAATAATAAATAAAATAAAATGCTTTTTGTTCTTGATACAATGGTTAGTGCAGCTGATACAACTTCAATTAGTGCTTCTTCATTTTTTGGTTTTATGGGAGTAACAATGGCTTTAGTTTTAGCAAGTATTAATTAAGAATTAATCTTTTAGATTTAGGTGCAGGTTATGGAACATTCAAAGCAGGTGCTGGTATTGCAGCTATTGGTATTTGGAAACCTGAAATAATAATGAAATCTTTAATACCAGTAGTTATGGCAGGTATTTTGGGTATTTATGGTATGATTGTTGCAGTTTTGCTGTCATAAAAAGGTATTTATGAGTTTTATAACAAATATTAGTTAAAAATCCATTATACTACACTTATAAATCAGGATTTGCACATATGGCTTCAGGATTATGTTGTGGTTGTAGTTGTATTGCAGCTGGTTTTGCAATTGGTATAGTAGGAGATGTTGGTGTAAGAGGAAATGCATAATAAGAGAGATTATTTGTTGGATTGATTTTGATTCTCATTTTTGCAGAAGCTTTGGCATTATATGGTTTAATTGTATCTTTGATATTATCACAATCATGAGTTTGAAGGTATCATAATATATTATGAAATAAAATCAAAATTCATCTCCTCTAATTCTTCTTGCTAAATTAATATCTCTTTGCATAACAGTCATTCTTTTGGCATGATGTGCACAAAGAACACTGTCTTCTAAAAGATTAACTATAAATGCTTCTGTTGCTTCTTATAAAGCAAATATGGCGCTACTTTAGAATCTCATTTCTTTTTCATTAACTCCTGCAATCTCTCTTATTAATCTCTAAAAAGGAATCTTCCTTATTAATAAACGAGAGCTTTCTTGGAATTTCCTAATTTCTTTTAAAGCAACTGTTCCTGGTCTGAATCTATGTGGTTTTCTTTCCTTTCTTTTAGATTTCATTTTTTTTCCTGAAGTTTTAGCAATACTTTTCTTTGACATCTCTTTACCTTCTTTAGTTCTGGCCATTCTTTAAAAAATGAGGGAAAATAAAATAAAACAAATATTAATTATAATCAATCATTTTTCCGTCAAATTTAAATTTGAATTATATATATTCTTGTTTAAATTATACAATTAAAAAAAGAAGTATATATATATAATATTTATAGTATTTTAAATAGCTAATAGTATTTATAAATATAAAAAATTTGATAAAATTAATTGATATAAAAAAAGTAAAGGCAATTATGTAGATAGAGATGTATAAATATTTGAACGTGGGGTAATAGCTCATTTGGTAGAGCGTATGCTTAGCATGCATGAGGCGCTGAGATCGAAGCTCGGTTGCTCCATATTTTTTTTTTAATTTATTATTTTACATTATAACTCACACGTATTTTAATATTGTATTCTAATTAAGTATAAATTAATCTATTTGATATGATAAAAAATAAAAAATATGTTATAAATAATAGCACTTACATAGATTTAAAGATTATTATGAATCTGAGAATTAATTATGTATATAATTTTAATACAAAGATGAGTTTAGAAGGAGTCTCAATATATAAAATAAAGATGTTTTAATAAATTATATTCCAATTATATTAAAAATTAGATATTTATTTTTTTAAATAAATAATGAGCACCTAATAGACTTAAAGACCTTAAAAATAAAGACTTGATCCAACAGATAATTAATTGCACGTGTCATCAAAGAAAAGTGCTAAGGAATTTGTTTTCATTACAAAAATATTTTTGAAGAAATTCAATCAAGTTGAATTACATGCATTAGGTGAAGCCACAAAGATCAGTGTTAGAGTAGCTGAAAATTTATAGAGATAAGGTATTATTATAAATCTTATTCTCTAGGTTTAATTACAATAACTAAAATTAATTCTTTCACAGCTGATATTGAAGGAAGAAAAAGAGTGAAATTAGTGATCACTGTACAACTGACTTAAGATGGAAAAGCAAGAATCAATCAAGAATTATAAGCTTGAATGATTAAATGATGGCAAAACGTATACATATATTAATTTGTTTATATTTAACAGTGTGTGATCTTCAATATTTCCTTATTAAAATACAAGAATTTTGACTTTTTATCCCATTAGATAAACCTAATTAATAATTATACAAAAATATTTATTTTTTATTATAGAAACATATGGAATTGCAAAACTGCTAATTATTATGAGTAATAAGATAAGATTGATCATAGAATAGAATTTAATCCTGCAATAATGAAACTTCTCTTTTACTTACTAGAACTATGCCATCTAGAACTGATCATTTCTGATTTATTTAGAGACTTTTTTTATTTACAATCTAATGAAGAAGATCTTGAATTGATTTCTCTTCTCTTAATCATAACAGAAGCTCTTTATTTTGGTTAAAGTTATTCATTTTATTTAATTTTGAAACCATATTCTAGTTTTTAAGTATAATTTTATTACATAGAACACTTTTTGGTATAGCTATTAATTAATAATCATTAAGATTAACTGCTCCAGTTTTTGAAAGTGATTATTCATTATTGGATTATAGAAAATTATATAATTTAGTAGTTTATTTTAATGGGGATACTTGTGATAACTTTCTAGTTTTTTTAAATTCTGTAATGTTTGTAATTATTTAAGGATTGTTATTAATAATATTAATATCATAGGAATTTTGAGATTGTCTTTCTACATCAGAGTAATTGAATATGGAATTATTTTAATGAAATGAATTAGAGATTGGGACTTTTTCAATAGGAATGCAATTAGATTTTAAGATACCATTAATTCCTTCATTCTTATTTAGTTTTGAGGTTCTACCTTTAAAATACGTTAAGAAATCCATATTCATTTTCATTTGATTAAAAATATATATATATATATTTAATTTGTAATAAATATTTGAAATTATTAGAAGTATTTTGTTGATGAAGAAAAGAATAATCTATTTTTATTTCAGTTCTAAGTTATTATTATGAAATTTAATTCAATATATATGTAATTAAAATATAAATATGGATCCATTTTATGAGGATTACATGCCTACAACAAACAATAAAGATGTAATAGATATATAGTATGAAATTAGATAAAAATATATCGTAATGGTGATTCAAATTTATGTTGCACTATTACCATAAGAGAAAATACAAAATTTCATGAAATTCGTAAATCATTGCAATAAAAATGGGACACTTATTTTAATCGTCTTCGTTTATTCAATTAAGAAGGAGTAGAAATAACAGAAGATGATCTAGATTATATAAAAAATGGAACTGTGTTATTTGCTTCTAAAGGTATGATTTAAAGTCAATATTTTAATAGGTGAAGAATTTGATGAAAGTTTTTAATTGGCAGAATATGAACAACTACAAGATATTGGAGAAGGAGGATTTGGTAAAGTGGTTTTAGGTAGACATAAACAAACAGGAGAAAAAGTAGCAATCAAAATGGTGAAATAAACATTAACTAATGCTTAAGTAATAAACAAATTTAAATTTAGGATGTTGATATGATTTTTAGAGAAGCTAGAGCTCTTAAATCTTTGAAACATGATAACATTGTAAAGATCTATAATGCATTCTTTTTATAAAATTTATAAACCGTGTATATAATGGAATATTTGGAAGGTGGTGAATTATTGTAATATTTATAAACTAAAGGGAAATTTGAGGAAAATGAAGCAAGACATTATTTTAAATAATTAGTTAGTGCTATATCATATTGTCACTAAAAGAAAATAATACATAGAGATTTAAAATTAGAAAATTTATTGTTAACTAGTAAAGATTCAGGTGTTATTAAATGTATTGATTTTGGTATCTCTGGATTTGCTTCAAATGATAACCCTGAAAATGCAGATGCAGGTAGTCTTCGATATATGGCTCCAGAATTATTAAAAGGTAAATTTGTATGATGTATTCATTTAGGAATGGATAAAGCTGTCTCTCCTTTAGTAGATGTATGGTCTATGGGTATAATATTATATGGAATGTTATTTGGTACACTACCATTTACTGGTAATACCAATAAGGAAATTATCGCTTAAATCTCAGAAGCTCGAGTAATGATCCCAACAGATTTTAATAATAAATTGTCTCAAAATTGCTAAGACTGTCTATAACGCACTTTAGAGCCAGATCCAAAAAAGAGAATTACTTCAATTGAACTTTTAAATCATCCATTTGTTACAAATGAAAACACTCTTAGCACTAATTCGAATAGTACAAATAAGTAATTAAATTGATTCTAAATCTTAAGAACTAAAATTTAAACCTAATTATAGTAAATTGATGAAGATGATAATCCTGTTGTCAAACAAGTTTAATCAACAACCAATAAAAAATAAAATCTTCAATTTACAAAACAACATCCTTAAAGTTCTAGATAATTGGTTTAGACCCAAAAAAAAACACCTTAACCATCCCCTTTATTATAAAAGCAATCATAATCAGTTGGCTAAACAACAAAATAGACTAAGTTTAGTAAAAAATGATAAATGTCTATATTATAGATATATATCAATATAAAATAAGAACAAATTTCATGATTCTTAAATTTCTGTTATTACAATACATTCCTAGAGCATTTTCTAAATTTTCAGATGAACATAAAAATAAAATACAATTTTATTTAACACTTTCATTTTATTTAAGTTTTCTATATTTTTTGAATTAGTGAGTCTAAATTATAATTTTATAATAAACATCATTAAAAGGTAAATATTATTATAAAAAGTAATAATCTTTTTATTTCATCAATAATATTTTATCCTAAATATATCCTTGTATCATATGCTGAATATTTGACATATTCTTAATTTTATAACCTCTTATTCCTAATAGAATCAATGAAACTCTAATTATTTCATATATATAATATATTATACATAACTTCTTTTATATTTTATTAATCAATTTACTTAATAAATAAATTAAAAGTACCTAATTAATTCATTTATTATATAATATGCTATATCTTCTTATCGAATTATAATTGTATGTTTATGTCTATACTTGAATCTGTATTAAATTAAAAATAAGATGAAAGTTTTGAAAGTGTATGATTATCGGTTAAGTCTCATATAATATCAATTATAATTTATTTTAGTCTAATTTTAAATTTATTTATTTTTAAGTATTTTAGATTTTCAAATTAAATCAAAATAAATTATAACATATTAAAAAGTAAAATAAATATCATTATCTTTAACTGAAAGATCTTTAAGCTGATTCACCATATTGATGAAATAACATTTTAGGAGGAGATCTCCTAATTTTGGATTCAAAATATTTGTCTTAATATTGAACAAAATTATTTGGTAATTCATCTTAACTAATATATATTAAGCATAATACTAATCTGTTTCATTATGTTATTTTGTAGAATTTAATTCATGTCTAAATTTAATTTTGCTAAATGAATATTATAAAACTTTTGGTAATTAAACAGGATAAAGGGATTCCTAATTGATTTGTTATTATTTTTAAGAACTTTAGGATTAATTTAATTTCTTTTTTGATGATTAAGAATATTTCTCAGTGAAAGATAAATTCTTTTTACTTTCTATCTATTATTCTATTTATAAAGTAGGAAATTATTATTAAATATCTAAAGAACTATCATTGTTATTTGAGTATTCTAGTTGCCTTTAAGGAGATGGATTTGTTTGTTAAATCTTCTTATCTGATTTTAAAACTTTAGAAGGTTTAAAAGAAGGATATTTGAAAGTTTGATCATTAAGATAAATTTAAACATCCTTCTTATTACGCTTTATTTCTTTTTTCTTCTTTTGTAAGATAATTTGATCAACTTTATATTTTGGTAAGATTTAGAAAATATCGAACTTTTCTGAACTTATTAAAGCTTATTCAGCAAAAGTTCTAATTGAACTTATAGTGGGTCTTAATTCAGAATCATAACAAAGAAGTATTCTTAACAAATTATTTAAATTTAGAGTATATTATGGATGATATATAAATTTAATCCCTTTTAGTATTTATTTATGTAAAACATTTATATTATTGGCTTTAAAAGGCTATTCCTTAAACATTAACTAATAAATCAAAATACCAAGCATCCATATGTCAGATTTACAATCATAAATTTTTTATTTAATAAATTCTGGAGCTAATAAATATATATCTTAATAATTGTCTTAATGAAGATAATATAAAATATTCATATCTCCTAACATAGTAGTAGTTTGAGAGTAAAATAGATTTGATAAACTTATTTTTCCATGAGGATGCTTAGGATGAAATAATTCAATTGCTGAACAAACCTAATAATTTTGATCTTAAATACTTAAATTAGTATATTAAGGATTTCTTATTCATTTAAGGGACATTAATATTGAGTATCAATATATTAACTTATTACTCTTATAAATTATATATCAAAATACCCTAAATAAGTATTATCTGCATCATGAGAGGCCTCATAAAATTTAACTATATGAGGATTACAAGTTTTAGATAGTTTATTGATAAATTGAATTAAAGATAGTACTTTATCCTTATTAACTCCTTCTAAACAGTATAACCTTAAGATGTAAAGTTTATTAACTCTTCTAAGGATAATAGTTTTTTTGAATTTATTATAACGAAGCACTTCTACAAATGTAAATTATGGATATAGATTTTCTATGTTCTTTTTTAATGATTTCATTATTATTCTGTTGTGATATTAATTTTATTATTTATCAAATTTATAGAATTCTCCAGTAGGTTTATTGGGATATTTTAAATTTTATTAATAATATACATACAATATCGAAAAGTTAGAGTAAGATTCCATCATAAGAATCTATATATATTGAATATAATAACTTTACAAAATAATATGAGATTTTTTATAATTAATTGTATATTGATTTATATTTCTATATTAAAAATAAAACAAATTGATGATTTAGTTAATTGATAATTGTCTAAAAAAGTATAAATAAATATATTATATTATATAATTGTTATATAAATTTTAATGTAAATAATTACTGGTGATGAAACAGGATTATTAAAATTAATTGATTTAGATAAAAACGAAGTGATTAAGAAATATGGAGAACAAGGTAAAGAATTTAAAGTAATCTAAATATTAAACTTAAAAATTGTTGATATATGCTTTTTCTTGGTTTTGAGGGAGTAAAGTTTATTATTATTGGATAATGAATTAAATGAAATAACTTAAATCAGCATTGATTCTTCACCTTTAAAAGGATTTTGTGATTTAAATCATGATATCTATATAATTTATAGCAATAGAAAAATTAATCATGTAAAATATGATTAAGATCAAAACTTATTTCTTTAATAAGAAACAATAAACTCAAATGATTTTTTGCCTTTTACAAATTGCAAAGATAGATATGTAACTTCAGCTGCTATTTCTAATGATTAAACTTTATTAATAGTGACTTATTTTGGTGTTTCACCATCTATTTTTAATTTAAAATAGAAAAAATTATAATGGTAATCAAGAAATGTTAAAAATGATGAATTAGATCTTTAAGTTAAAATGCATGATTATGATGGATTATTTTTAGATGATTATTCTGTTGGTGTTATTACAACTCACTAAACTCTTAGAATATATAGTATTCTTTAATAGAAATCATAACCAGTTTCTGAAAATTCATTAAAACATTCAAAAACTAAAATTAAATTATTATGAGCACACAATTAAAAATATTATATGATTAATGAACGTGGTGAAATCTTAATATATTAGAAAGATTTTAAATTTGAAAGAATGATTAAAGGTACTTTTGGAGCTGTGAGAGATGTAGCATTCAATAAAGAATATATATATACTGTTAGCATTGATCATTTTTTAAGGTTTATTTATATATTTATTTTAGAGTGTATCATATTGAAAATGTTAGAATACCATTATCAATTAATTTATTATAAAGATTATAAGCAATTAATTTCAATTGTATTGAATATAAAGATATAGAGATAGAAAAAAAAGAAGAAAAAATTTGGACAATAAAAAATGGTAAAGAAGCAAAGGCTAGATTTGCTGGAATGAGAAGACATACTATTAAATTGCCATATTTGGATAAAATGTTTGAAAATCATAAACTCAATAAATTAAATAAAGAATAATAAAAATTGAAATAAGAATAATAATCAATTTAGATTAAATAAGAATATGTAGAATAAGATTAATAAGATTAATAACTTAAATATAAAAATATACAAAATAAAAAAATAAAAAAATAAAAAAATAAAAAAATTACAACAAAAAAATAAGATTCTTGGATTAAAGAAATAAAAGTTACTTGTAAATAAACCAAATAGAAAAATCAAATGAAATATTTGTTTTATAATGTTTAAATTGTTAATTACATATAATTTTTTATTTTATGAGTAACTAGAAGAATAGCTATGATAATTTGATCTTTTATGATGAAGAAGAAGAACAGCAGAACTTAAGTCAGCCAAAAAAGAATTCTCAATTTTTAAATCGATTGCATAATAAAAACAACAAATCATTTGAGAAAACATGGTTAAACACTGTAACAGAAGAACATCGAAATGATTTGAAAGAAAAACTAAAACAAACTGTGGGAAACAGTAAATACAAGTTCAAATATTTGTTTTAGATTCCCCAAATAATGAATAATTCTAAACTTTAAAGTAGAAAAAAGACTTATGAAATTTTTACAAAAAATTCTTAGCTTGAACAATATTATTTATAATTAAAGAAGACCTCCTCTAACTCAGTAGATACAATATAGTCTAAAGCTAATTATAAAGATATATTAAGTTAAATTTCAAATAATAAAGTACATGATACGTATCAACATTAAAATAAAAAAAATAATGGAGTAATTTATACTAATGAATTATGGTCGTAAAAGCTAAGAAATTAAATAAGTGAACAATCTAGATTAAAAGAATTATCAGAGTTACTAGAAATGAATAAGATTAAGATGAGTTATGATGAATAATTACAAAATTTTTAAGAATACTTTGTAAAAAAAACAAAACCTAAAAAAGAATCTATATCTGATATGTAGTAAATTATATCAACAGCATTTTTATCAGAAAATTAAAAGGAAAGTAAAATCTAAAATGAAAATTAATACAAGAAACCATAAACTTTAAATATATAAACATATTTTAAACCTCATATTGATGAATAAACTTTTGATTATTCAACAAAACATAGTCGAATGGGTTCCCGTAAACACAGTCAAGGATATAGACCATAATCATAAGAATATAGTATTTTTAGTCGTAGAGCATCTACTTTAAAAAATAAATTAAATGATGAAATGACTACATAATTTAATCATATAGATACCCCAAATGATAAATTAAGATTCATAATAGAAGATTCCTGCAAAGAAAATGAATCAACAAAAACTACTGTTTCTAAAATTAATAATTTTCTTAAATCAGAAAAAGAGGATTAAGAAAGCATTAAAAAATAAAAAATTCAATTCTAGTAAGTTAAAGCTTTGAATAATGCAATAAAAATTAAAAAATAGAGGGAAACAAATTCTCATATTTCTAATTAAATAACTTGATATTATATTTATTTTTTTTAACATTCCTTGATCCTAAATTGGTAAATTATAATTATTTCAATAGTTTTAAGACTATTTTCTATCATATATTAATGATTTAGCTTCGTTTAATATACAAATTGATTAAAAACTTTAATAGAATATATTTTTATTAATTTAGATGAATGTATTTTTTTTCACATCTTATGATCTATTTCTACTATGCGTTTGATACGAGAATTTTTGGGGATTATCTCTGTACGTGTTTCACTATCCATATACTTTTAAACCTAAAATTCATAATAATAATAAATACATCTTCGAAGGTACAAACTGTTCTACCATCAGCAGTAGTCTTAAATACTCTTTTATATGCTGACAAATTTGATAAATCCTATTATTGATTTATTTATTAATGTTAATATTAGGGTATTTCAGGTTTTGGAGTATTTGATTAATAATTGTAATTATTTACCTGATTCATTTGAAAATTTTAGCCACCATATGGATATTGATTATTATATATTGGTTGGTTTTTATTTATTTATCTATCATTATTATTTTATTTAGTCAAAACAGATGTATGATTTTTAAAATCACATATCATATTGTCCCATGGATCATAACTTTATTATAAGTTTTATTAATAGGTTTGTCTTTAATTGTATTATTATTATTATTATTATTATTATTATTATTATTGTTATTATTGATCCCTCTAATCTTCATATTACAATTGATTCATATTTTATTATAAATAATGATGAAATAATATTTAAGATTTAAATTAAAAAGTGATTTAATTATTATATCATATAGTTAAATAAAATTTAAGAATAATAATGAACATATGGAAAAATAATAGTTTATGTTCATTTATTAGTGGAACTTGAATTTTAGCTAGAGTCTTCTTTATAATTTCTTGTTTTTTATTTAAGTGCTAAATAATCAGAAAGAATTGATTTTAACCATTTCCAGGCCTACTTAAGTGATGGCTACTCTCGAAATGAATGTTCAGGATGGCAACTAATGACCATATGTAATAATGATTCAACAAATTTGTGTTCATTGGAATATTTAGATCTTCCTTAATATAATAATACTTTATGATTTGCAATTCTTCTGAAATATCTTAATTTTCTTGATTACTTATAATGAGATCTTATTCTAATTTAAGAATAGACTTTTGTAATTCTATATTAGTTTTTTATTACTAACTATTGTGAATAATCTCATGATGTAATTTATTTGATATTGAATTTAGTTCTTTGTTTAATTCATCTATACATTCTTGATCTTTATTTGAACTTTTATATTGAATTTCTAATTAATGTTTTAAATCCTTTATTTAACAGAGAAGTAATTATTCTACCTTTCTCAATTTATTTATAACATTATTCAAATTTTATATTTCTTCATCTAAATCTTATTGTTTTTTTGGTAATGATCTATTGGAACTCTTTTTTGTTATAAGAATATCTTAATTAATAGATTAATTGGCAGTATATGAATCTGTTGATATATTGCCTTCGGCTTCGCTTTCACGAATAGAATACAACATTGAAATTTTAACGAAATTTATTTTAATAAATATATGTATGTATGTAGGGGAATAATTCTGTTTATCATTATCTAAATATACCTCCTTTTTTTAAGGCATTTTCAGCATCTTTAATTGCTAATAATTCATTATCATATTATTATATTAAAGTGTTATGTGAAGCAGTTCTAAAGATAATAATTTTGTATATACCTTTCAATCCATCTATTTTAAGTTGTATTAAGATTATCTTCAGCTTCTGCTAAATTAATTCTTGCATCATTAAGAATTGAATTAAGTGCTTTAATTTCACCATCCTTAGTCTCAATTTCAGTTTATAATAAAGGAATTAATACATCTCTAATTCCAGTTATTTTTGCTTGAATTTCTGATAAAATATCTTATTATAATTTTGATTAAGCATCAAATTAATTTTATAAAGAAGTTTATCCATCAATTAAAGATTGTCTTAATTAATTCATATAATTGATAACTTTGTTAAGATTCTCTTAATCAACATAATTATTTTATGCAATTTAACTGAGTGCTTTTACTAATGGTTAATAGAAGACTCTTTTGGAAGATAGTTATTTGAGACTATTATTAAATATAAAATAATACTGAGTGTGCATCTTTTATGAAATCTCTTTGATATTGTCTGATTTTTATAACAATGATGTTTCATCTTTAACTTCATTTAATAATGCAATAGCTTAATCTAATACAGCAATAGTATCTGCATATTCATTGAATTATCTTGTAAAAGTAGATTTATCTGAATTAATTTATGCTTCTTTAGCATTAAATAATTTTGTAGCATCATAAAGATCTTATTTGGCTTCAGTTAAAAATTATTACAATCTAGTTCTTTCATCATTCAAATCCTTAACATCAATTTCTAATTAGGCTATCTAAGAAATATTAAAATTCATAATAATACCTTATTCTTAAAATCTGTAATTTAATTTTAGTAGTATTGTACATCAGCTTAATATTATTAATATTCTTGTTCATAAAATGCATTTTCTTCATTCTTTCTAGCCTTAAAAGATTCAGCTAATTCATCTAGAGCAACAAATAATTATTAGAAATTAAAGTCTTTAGATGCCACTTCTGATAATGCTACAATCACTTATTAAAATGGATGTATTTAATCACCAAATGTGGATAATATTCCTTAGCTATATATGATGATTGTCTATACTTAGCTAATGTCAAATACAAGAGAGACAATGCGATGAATGTTTTCATTTATTAATTATTAATCCGTTTTTATAGGAAATAATATTAAATCTGATAAAACAATAACTCATTTAATCATATGGATTTCTGGTTTCTACTTAATACTATTTCTTAATCAATTATCATTATCAAATTGATCTAAATTATTTTATTATTGTATTAGTTACCTTTTTAAAATCAGTATAAAACATGCCAATAAATAATGAATTCATTAAATAAAGGCTATATGACAAGGTTGAATAAATTTCACTAACCATATTAGCTATAAAGTCTTCTGATGCACTTAGACCATCATTTAAATTAGGTTCTCCTTAAGCCATTGGCATACCCATAAACAAACTTATAAAGTTAACAGAAACAACTAAACATATTTATATTATATAGACTTACAAGCAGTAAATAAAAAACATATGACCGTAAATAAAGCAGCCTTTATTTACTAACTTAATGAGTACTCTTTTAATTAATTTGGAATTTTCTATTTTTTTGAACTCTACTTATAACACATATAATAACTAGTATAAAGGAAATTCATCAAAAAGGAGAAGGTTAATAAAATCCGATCTTCCGTATCTATAATAATAATAAAAATAAAATATATGAAATTATGATACATAGAAAGTTAGCTTGGTTTTTTTATTCAATTGGTAATAATGCAAATGCTAAAAATGATAAATGAGCTGAAACTCCACTCAAAAAGATTTAAAATGAAAAAGGTTTGAAGTGTTCATATCTTTAGTTAAATCTTAATTTTTATGATATTTTTTAATTGGTCTAGTAAATTAAATAATATATTAGGATGCCAATCAAACTCATTAATGCATTTCCTATCTAATATATTAGAATTATAATTTATTATACAGTAAATAATTAATTCTTTTAAAATGGTAATTCCAAAAACAAAGGAAATGTTTATGCTCTTGGATATTGAAGTTAACTTAAAATAGCAGCAAAAAGAACAATGAATGATATTGATGCATACATAGGTGGCAAATATGTAATTTGTTATTTCAAATTTGTTTATGTTTATGCACTTAAATCTCTATTATTGAGACTGACAAAGGATTATNTTAAAAGATTCAGCTAATTCATCTAGAGCAACAAATAATTATTAGAAATTAAAGTCTTTAGATGCCACTTCTGATAATGCTACAATCACTTATTAAAATGGATGTATTTAATCACCAAATGTGGATAATATTCCTTAGCTATATATGATGATTGTCTATACTTAGCTAATGTCAAATACAAGAGAGACAATGCGATGAATGTTTTCATTTATTAATTATTAATCCGTTTTTATAGGAAATAATATTAAATCTGATAAAACAATAACTCATTTAATCATATGGATTTCTGGTTTCTACTTAATACTATTTCTTAATCAATTATCATTATCAAATTGATCTAAATTATTTTATTATTGTATTAGTTACCTTTTTAAAATCAGTATAAAACATGCCAATAAATAATGAATTCATTAAATAAAGGCTATATGACAAGGTTGAATAAATTTCACTAACCATATTAGCTATAAAGTCTTCTGATGCACTTAGACCATCATTTAAATTAGGTTCTCCTTAAGCCATTGGCATACCCATAAACAAACTTATAAAGTTAACAGAAACAACTAAACATATTTATATTATATAGACTTACAAGCAGTAAATAAAAAACATATGACCGTAAATAAAGCAGCCTTTATTTACTAACTTAATGAGTACTCTTTTAATTAATTTGGAATTTTCTATTTTTTTGAACTCTACTTATAACACATATAATAACTAGTATAAAGGAAATTCATCAAAAAGGAGAAGGTTAATAAAATCCGATCTTCCGTATCTATAATAATAATAAAAATAAAATATATGAAATTATGATACATAGAAAGTTAGCTTGGTTTTTTTATTCAATTGGTAATAATGCAAATGCTAAAAATGATAAATGAGCTGAAACTCCACTCAAAAAGATTTAAAATGAAAAAGGTTTGAAGTGTTCATATCTTTAGTTAAATCTTAATTTTTATGATATTTTTTAATTGGTCTAGTAAATTAAATAATATATTAGGATGCCAATCAAACTCATTAATGCATTTCCTATCTAATATATTAGAATTATAATTTATTATACAGTAAATAATTAATTCTTTTAAAATGGTAATTCCAAAAACAAAGGAAATGTTTATGCTCTTGGATATTGAAGTTAACTTAAAATAGCAGCAAAAAGAACAATGAATGAT